TCGATGCGACGGTCAAACGAGAATGAGAGTTGATGAGAGTTGAGAACGAGAGTTGAGAACGAGAGTTGATTACTCTCATCAACTCTCATCAACTCTCATCAAAATTTGAACCAGTTCAAAGTCGATGAGAGTTGATGAGAGTGCACGAGAGTGTATGAGAGTTCGCGGTCAAACGCAAGCGAGAGATGCAACTCCCATCAACTCTCATCAACTATCATTCTCGTTTGACCAGGGCTTAAGGTATATTGCAACATAGAGAAGAGAAAGAAAATTTGTCATGGTTAAATGTGCGAGAACAAACATATACGCTAGAATCAATGTATTTTCATATTAACAAACACGCATATATAAATGTATCCTTCATCATAGAAATCAACTTTGCCAGCGTTTCGATTCTTCCACAGAACAATATATTAGTTTAACTTAAGCTACTTTACATTCATACACGAAAAAAATACTCTTGAAATAGCTTATTTCATTAATTAAGCTCTATACAAGGTGACTACACAGGCTACCCGAACGATCTGTTCCAACGCCGCAAGATATTAAAACATATACATGGGGTAAACAATACTTCTTGCCGGTTTTGTCCGTAAAGTCGTTCCCAGCGTCAGTTTATTATGAATGCACATAATAGCTACAGGGAGGGTGCCCAGCGTCCTTGATTATTTTGCACCTTTAGTAATGATCTAAATCTATTAAATAAAGAATATTTTCTTTTCAAATAGAAGAAACGAACACGGCAATGATCGCTTTACCAGCAAACACTTCTAGGCAAACAAACTCTGCAGGACGATTCTGAGTTGTTTATCAACTCTCGCAGAGCGCGCCATTATGAATCGATGCAACTCGGCGATATAACGGTGTTTTTTTTAGCAGCGGTTGTCAATGAATGGGAGCGTTCATCAATGTTTACGGACCATTTGTAGTATTTACAATTGACAACGCTGTGTATAGTCACACGCGATAGCAGCGTTTAAGAGAAACTGCTGCCACGGTAGCTAGTGTACTTCTCTCATGCAGTATAATGACTGAATATAATCCACGGCTGTGAAGCGGGAGATTGTTGCATATCTTGGTGATGGTTTTATCAACATTCTTTCCCTGATCAAACCGACTGACTTGACTAGGCTATTACGCCGCTTATCGTCTGAGACGAGACGCAGAAACTATCATGAAAATTTAAAGCAGCCTCGTCCAATTAAAAAAACAACGCATGCCGCTATATTCAAGAGTGATGGTTCTGGGGTAAGGATTCAAAAAAAGTTCCGTCTGGTAACCAGGGCAAAATACAGCCCGATCTGCCGCTTATATTGACTCCTGTTTATATTTGGCGCAGTGTTCTAACTTGCCTGGGTAATCGCCCATGTACCAACAAATTTTCTTTGACGGATTAATGGGACGTTATCATCTTTTTCGTACATATACAGCGGTGGAAATATATTTTTACGGTTTATTAATAGCAAAAAGCTATCAAAAGAATGCATCGGCTAGGGAATAAAAGTTACTTTTTACAAACTAGAGCAAATAAGTTAGTTCTTATGACCGTTTCTATATAGTCAGTTGCACTGAGTGCAAATTTCACAATATTGATATGGTAGGTTATTAGTTATTATACCACTGTCTATGTTACTCTCAGTGAAACCGTTGAAAATACCATCATTTATTACTGTAATAAAAACTATATCATTCATAACACATAACAAAATGATCAATAATTTGTCAACGAAAACAAATTTTTAATTGTCGTTACCATGTTGAGAATGATAATCTTATTGTCGCGAGGTCACTGCTAAATTTATCTGGTAGTGGCAGCACAAAGCGCTGTAAAGCGACTCGTATTTTATTCTCGTGTGCTAATAAGGAGTGCAATCAATGTAGTCATCATTGATTTATTAGACACCACCATGGCGGTGGATGGTCTTATTGTTGTCAAAGATTTAATATACCCGTCGCAAGCCCATGTGAGGATCATGGAGTGAAGCTTTTATTGAAATCCGAACAACTATACACGGTCTAAAATTATTTCGTTTAACGATATATATAAGTTACATGAAATAGCTACTATTGTTTATGTTTGAGTTTTAAAGTGTTTTTAACCTTCTACACGCTGCAACATTTGGAGTGTCCGTAATTTTCTCAAAAAACCTTGAAAGTTTGGCAAACATGCACTTGCAGATTTTTGCTTGAATATCGCTTTACGATAATGTTCATACTGTGCAATGGAGTGGTTTTTCCTGACAGAGTGTTGATTGCTGATACTAATATTAGCTTGGCTAGTCTGGTACTTGACCTTTCTACCACGAGACTAATCAACGATTTTGCCATTATGCATGATTTTTCAGACATTCCTATAGTCTTCACGATCCCTGATTACACAGGCGCGTCGTCGTTTTTTTACTGCAAAATAGAGATAGTTATCCTCCATAATCAACAACACATTCCTCCACTTTGAGAATTCAAAAAGAAAATGAAATTGCGAATGAGAGAATTGAAAAACGAGCTCAAAACCGATACTAAGGTCTATAAAACTACAACAAAAAGTTGTCCACGTTTAAATTCTTATTTCCTGTATATATTCCGAGCGCTTTTCTCATTCGTGTGACACAACGACCCCAATTCAGGTGAAAATGGACGTTGTTATAAGCTAGTCGTTGCTTTTGACAGTATACGTATATTTATCATTGAAGCAAGGCAGTTCAGTGCTTACAGTTTTAAATGAGAAAAGATGTAACACGTTAATTAGGTTTTCAGAGGAAGAAGACGATGCGAAAATACAAAAGATGTATATCGTTACACATTTCATGCACTCCGTTTCATGTAAAAGTTTCGAAGCCGATTTATAAAGGAGGAGACGTGTCCAGTCATTGATTCCAGCTAACGTGATTGCGATCTGAGAAAAGTGTCGAGGAAAAAAGTGAAGGCGGCAGCGTGTGAACATCAGTGTATCTCTGAGCGAGATAACTTGAACACGATGCTATCTGCGGATTACTGCTGGTGCTCATTACCTCAATAATGAGCAATGCTTAGTCAGAAATGAGCTATTAGCACATTTTCTGAGCCGGACAAACCTCTTTACAAAGCACTTGTGTGGCACACAATTAAGCAAAACACCGCGTTACTCAAGTTTTATTTAAAAGTCGCTCAAATTATCGGAGCATATTTTCAGCTCGTTCGCTTGAGCGATGATTCGAGTTTAAAACGACCTCGCACAGAGCGATAGCAGCATTACGAGCTGATATTCCCATATGCGCGGTGTTCAAAGTCATTGATCTCAAGTTTAATGACCAATTAACTTGAACCGATACACTTTAATGAGCTTTAATTGGTCTTAAAATAAGAATGCACTTTATTCTACTTGGTTTGTTTGCATTCGCAATTTAGTCTTGCCCGTCACCTGCCAGGCGCGAAATTCTCATGTTCTCGAAAGAAAAGCCGATGTTTTTATTCCCACCGGGAGCGAGCCATTTAAGATTTCGGGCAACGCGAAAATCGATCATACCGAGTTGTTTGTTGACCTCGAACGCAGCTCTTAATCCATTTAGCAATCTTTCCGCGGACTAAATCGGGCGAAAGGAAGCTATTCTTGGCACACGTGGCTCGGACCTAGTTCTATTTGCGAAACGCACGCTCGTTGAGCTCCCCGCCGATTCGAGCAGTTAGGAGCTAGCCGCGGCGCGTTTGAAGTTAATGGTTTAATTTCCGGTGCCATATCTGTTAATATGTGTTGGCTGATATATTTATTGTTCAGAGACAATAAATATCATGGGATTGCCACAAATGAAGGTATTAGGAATCTTTAAACTGCCGCTTGTCTTAGACAAAAGACTTAAGCTGCCGAGGCCGAGAACTAATCAAAAACTACATCAAACAGTATCGGAAATAAATTGATGTTTGTTTTGCATTAAACGCAAGCAAATAGGGAGAGCAAATCTTCCAGATAGAAGCGAGGAAGTGTTTGAATTTTTATCAACGCTTGCTGTCCGCTTAACAATGCAAGATAATTGAAAGTTAACAAGTGGACCTTGTCACGAAGACGCCACACAATCAAAGGGGGGTCCAAAGAGGTTTTTCAAAAGTCCAAAGTTTTGGATGCATTCTTTGTTGCTCAAAACTGATCGGGGGTTTTAACTTTTAGGTGAACGTATTAAGACCTCACAACCATTAAGCATGCACTCCGCAATACGACTGCAACATTACCTTCTAAATGCTTTATCAATGCGTATATTGTTCCTAATTGCTACAGTTATTAGCATTGTTATGAAGCCGATAATGACTTTGAAGTGTTATCACAAACACTATACATTAAAAATCAAACAGCGCTTTCCGATTACAACGCTCGAACCTGCTCAAATCTAATTTAACAATTCTGTGTCTCAGTTCCCAATTCCGCGGCACCAGCGAACCACAATCGGCCATGGGCAACCATTTAATCAACGTTTCCCAAAACATTTCGGAATTTTGGTCGCGTTCGGCAATTTTCATTTCTCGCTCTCAAAGGAACGGTGTTTCGATTCATAACATATGGAAAGGCGCTTTTCGGCTTCCGAAACACTATACAGCTTTTATTCATTCAACATGTGTTCGTGACTAAGACCACAATTCGCACGCAGCCAGCCCCGAAAGCTCGTGGCTACTTCTGTACGAATAAACATGGCGCTCTGTGAAATTTCTCACTGTACAAGTCTAGTCTAACAACTAGGTGCGAATCGCAAAGAGTGTTGTACAAATATTGAAATAGTTAATCACTTATAAGATTTGCTATTGGTTATCATGTTTGTCCTGGCCTACATGTGATCGGGTAATGATTATGAGCGCTTTCCGAGCAGTTCCTCTCTCGCGTTTATTTAGCTAGTTTATTGTCGTTCAATGTGGCATTAAAGAGAGCTGATCTCCATATGAATACCGCAATTGTTTAAAGTCTCATCGAACGCTGTTCCAATACAAATGAGTCGTTAAAATCTGCCGTGATGACGCTCAAACACTGAACGACCGCGGTCTCCCCGCGTGCAGTCCATACGGCACACGGCGAAGCACAACTGCTGCAAACACGATACCCAAGTCGTTGCAAAACAAACAAGAAATACAACATGTCTTTGCGTACGATAGCGGAGTTTGAGCGCTAGTGTGAATTACACAGTATTTACGCTATTGAAAAAAGCATTGAATTGGCCCTCACAAAGGGAGAGACTATGTCGGCAAGATCAGACGGTGTCGGTCAAACATAACTGAAAGTTAATGCGGTAAATAATAAAGCGAGCTTTTAAATGGAAAAACGCAGCATTTTCACGCCCCATTCGCCCTTTGTCTTCGCAGAGGCAGCCAGCGTACACGAATTACTCGCCGTTTCAACACCGCACCGATTCAAGTGGCCGTGAAATCGCGCACGAAACCTCGACTGAACGACAAGGCTTATCGGCTGAAGTGGGTTAGTGAAGATGTTTTAGTGCTAATCGCCGTGACAACTCATCACCACTTGAGTCTGTCAGCTTATTTAGGTAATTTGACAGGTAATTACTGCCGCTTTAGTAATCAAATCAAGCATATTTGGCCTCTCATTGTGCCCCCGAAGAATCAGCGTATGCGAGCCTGGCGTGGAAACACCGGTAAGCAATTCACCCCCCGTCGCTCTACCCGCAGACAGGCGTATGAGTACAGAGAGTTCGAGGCTCGCCAATCATAGGAGACTCGAGATAGTCAGTTGTAGACGTGCAGCGAACAGCACCCGGCGAGTTTGGAGCGAGCAACTACGAGGGATACAAAGATACATACGAAATGATGCAGTCTAACCGCAGCTTTTGCATCGAATCTTTGATTGCAAATCGGGACAAGTTCTCGCCAAAATATGCGCGAGACGATGCCGAGTTAGACGATGAAGCCAGCTCGGACTTAAGCGACCCAGAGAGCCCAAGGATAGCGCAACAAACTACCCCGTTTTCCGTGAACGACATACTCAATCCGGACAAGTTCACGCGAGAGAGAAGCCAGTCAGAAAGTCCACCGAACTCCGATACAAAGAAGGTGGTCTGGCATCCGTGGATGTCAGCAACCCGTTACAACAGGCCGCAGAAAATCATGCATGGTAAGAGGATTTTGATATGTGTTTACAAACTACCACTGCGGGGTAAATGATCACAGTTAAATTATGTACTAAACACGACCGACATTAACTTCGCATTCAGTCTACATGATTCCAAGTCATCAGCAAAGCCGATTGATTCGAAGACCTCAAATCGCGGTTGTTGTATATGTATTGACGCAGCGAAATTTTAATTATACTTCAAAATTTCACCGCGAACGCATTCAGCGCGGCGCCCTATTTAAACTTCGATCACACGTTATGGGAAATGTGGAGTGGCAAATGGTGTTTAGTGTTCTTTATCTTTAAAATTTCAGGCCGAATAAGTGGCAAATTTGTTGAAATTTTCAGGCAGGGAAGGCCAAATCAAAATGGCCAAATTTGACTCAACACGGATGTGAAATACTTTACTTGATCCCGTGTTAAATCAATTACTGATTCGCAGTACGTGAATCAGCTTAGCCCAATGCAAGCATTGATCGACACAGACAATCTACGATTCTGAGCGATCTATCATTGTGTATAGCGATTGTGTAAGCGGTTTTTTCAAATCACCATAACAGTGTAACTATAACCAACCTCAAATTATCCACTTGCATTTCCTGACTCAAATACAGGTTATAATGATTAGGGAAGTTGAAAGTCTTTCTGTTTGACGAGAAATAAAATAATCTCTTGTAAACGGGGAAAAAACAACTCGACCTTAAGATTGAGAAATTATCTCAACCAATTGTGCTATTACGATAAACGATTGATTTATTAAAGCGGCATAGAGGATTTAAATTCAGAGATTACGTCCGCTATTTAGGTTTAAAATGCCAAGTTCCTCCTATAACTATAAGATTTCAGTGTACGCCAGGTTTTTGGACATCAAGAGATCATTAGGCGAACATCATTTGCATGTTTCTGTTTCCAAATCTCGTGCTACAACACCAAATAAGATTAACTGGAGTAGAAATTAGGTTTGGATTTTTCCCTGCCTTGTCAAACACTTTCGAATGATGGAAAAGCGGGGGAAGCTGGGATAAAACGATTCCGGAAAAGATGAGAATAGAAGTTTATTTGCCGACAAAAGCATCATGCATCCTTGAAGAGTGTTTATAGATTGTTTCCGACAAGAGTTAGTCGCCCCAGAAAGTGTCAGTGCAACATATACTCTGAGATAGCATAATTGAACAATCCTAAACACATTGGGGATCAAAGGGATATTATTGATTCGTAAAACCACGGTCCAAATTCAAAGAGAGGAACACCCTCTTCACTATCAGTCATTGCTATTTTGGTATCCCGACTCCCAAAATTCATAAAGTTTCAGTAGAGGAAATTAAATAATTATTCCGAGGTCCTTTCTTAGGGTAATAACTACAGTCCGATTAATTTATCTCATTTTTAACAGAACTATAACCCAGACTCGGTGTAGAAGTACAACAATTTAGCGTGCAGAACAATGCGTTCCTTTATGATCAGGCTTGAAATCAATTCCCTTGTACAATCTCTTAAAAGCTCTCTTAAAAAGTCCAAAATATGTGGCAAATGGCAAAAGCTTCTATATATGATCACTGAAGAAGTAATTATTATTATTATATTAGACTGCGTTGTATATTGATAAATGTAATTTTAACAAAGACATGCATGGACAGACCTTACTCATAGAGCCATAGTGTTCTCGATCAAAACTTTACCAAAAAATTGAACACCGAAGTAAATAAGTTTGGACACTCAAGCACAAGCATATAATTTAGAGTGTCATTGAAATAATGTTAGTGAGAATTTTCCAGTCTGTGTACCGCGTTAGTCAGCCACATTCATTAGTGACAAGCACTGGAGCAAGACTAATATCCTCACTGTCTAGATATTTCGGATACTTGATTGCTGACGATGTCCCCATGGAAATTTGCATGCAGTTTCTAAAATGCCGTTGAAAATGTAATCTTTTTCATGCGCATTCCCCGTGATCTTTGTTACGGATCTGTTCCTTCGGATTGCCTTAATGAAAGACACTGCTGTGATTGAAATAAAAAATACTAAACATTTTCTTTGTAATGTCTAAAAACGACTTCAAGATTTTAAGATTCCGTCTTGGCAGGTCTCCACCTTCGCCTCCCTCGCATATTCAACGAGGAACTATTAAAGTTCTCCCTTTCAGATAAAAAATTAAGGATAAAATACTTGGAATCGTTAGAGATTTTTAAACTAAATCCTTCAAATCACATGTTATTTAACTTTATTATACATATAATTTCCAAAGCTAAATCACTATAAACCATGCAGTCAAATTTTTTCATCGTTTTTTTAACAAACATGTATTCATCTTTTACAAGGCGTCGAGAAAAGAAAGAGTCAGGACGAATTGAGTGCGGACGAGATTGAGAAGGAGAGCGAAGATTCAGATTCGTCCGACGAGACGAAATCAAATTCGGCAAAGAAGAGAAAACGATCAGCCGACCGAAACGGGAAGGAGGGTAAACCACGTCGTGCAAGAACAGCTTTTACTTATGAACAATTAGTCGCGTTGGAAAACAAGTTTAAAACGACGCGATACCTTTCGGTTTGTGAACGTTTGAATCTTGCCATGTCGCTAAGTTTGACCGAGACACAGGTGAAAATCTGGTTCCAAAATCGTCGAACAAAATGGAAGAAACAGAATCCTGGAATGGACGCGACCGCTCCGACAAGACCTATCATGGCACCGCCAACGTTACCTCATTGTGGTTCACCATACATTTTGAACTCACAACATCATTTTTTTCCGACAAGTTGTTCGACAGCCATTCCGTTTATGTTCGCAAAGCCACAGCCGGCCTATCCTGCACATTTTTAAGGGCGAAGGAATTGTGCCGACACAGGCAGAATGGAAGAAAACGCTATGTACATCCTCGCCAGAATTCGACAGTTTGCTTTACAACCGACAATCTATGGCCTAGTTTGCTTTGCGTTTCGCCAATTTCTGCAAAGCCGGGGCGATGCTTTTCGGTGTACAAAGGTTGATGCGGTATGTGTTGGAATAGTCCTGCTTCAAAACATAGCTTTTGTGATGGTAAACATTATAATTCAATTTTAAAAAACTGGATATAAGCTGAAATAGGCTGTCCTGTATGCTGGATTTGATTTCTAGAGTGTTTGAAGAGAACAGAATTATAATATGCCGGCTACAAGGCGTGGAGGGAAAATTTACGATCATTTCTCACTTCAAGAGCATGAAAGTTATCCGTGAAAGATACCATGGGTATAAAAATGAATTTCATTTCTCTTTCGTGTGAATATAGATATATCTTGCTGAAGATATATATTCAAATTCTGAAGTAAGCCATATTTTGCAACTAAAATCTTTTCGTAACGCATCACTTTTCATGCTGAAAGTTTGTTAAAAATTGTAAATTTTCTTCTCGCCTTATGCGGTATTTCAAGCGACCGAGAAATTGTAAAACCAAAGCTTAAACTCGCACAGATCATTTGAAGGACAATAGAAGAGAAGGTTCGTCCAACGAACAATGGCGTCGCCAAAAAGATGTACATAATGTGTATTTTAAAGTATGAATTTTATACAGAAATCGGAGCAATTGAAAGTGTTTTGTACAGACAAAATTAGGACAAGTAAATTATATAAACATGTACCTAGCGATTCAGAACTGATCGTCAACGTTCAAACATACAACCACATGGGGTTGAAAATTTAACAGACCATCTCCATTCGCATAGTGGCATTTCGCGAATAATCACTGTAAATAAATTTTTTGTACAAAGCTATTTTGTCGAAGTTGGTGGTCTTTTACATTCGCTCGTCATGCAAGCGCGCCATTTTATAAAAGTACCGTCAAAACAAGACTAAATGTGTGTGTGTGCAAAGTTGCATATGGTTGGTTTTTGTGTGGGCAGACAAAAATAACCCATTTTCTGTATGATACTAAAAGCGACTCAAATTAAAGCAAAATATTCGTTTGATGTTTCAAAATGTAAAATTCAAACGTTAAATGTTTGATAAAGCTATGTTAAATGATTGTATTGAATGTGATTCTATCATTTTCGCCAAAGATATTCTGTGCCATCGATGTGTATTATTGTATTGCACCGCAAGACAAGTTAAATCTCTATGGTTAAGACACAGCGGTTATAAATCTTGTTAAAAAGTACACTTATAAATATAGCTGTGTTGGTGAGATCTTGGCTTGAGCCGGACACGCTGACATGCTAGGAATATTTCTTGTTTAAAGGTTTTACGACGTGCATGAGAACTGTGATATTAGTTCCGGTTTAAAAATAGCTAAAACAGGGCAGCACAGCGCATTTTGACGGAGAATTTGGGCGCAACCTCGCTGGTTTGTCGGTAATTTTGACCATTGTGGTTAACAGGATCAAATGCAGTGACCCTTCATGACTTAAATTCCCACTCAATTGGGCCTCCCTGAAGAATCCAATTTGCAAAAGATGAGTTTAACTTTTCATATTCCATCTTGTTGCATTGAGTAAAGCACTGCACTGGACTTATCCATCAGACCTTGAAGCTGTCTTAAAATCGGGGAAAAGATCATTCCTTAAAGATCAAAAGCAACGTTTAAACTAACTCACAAGTGCTATTAATTGCCATACACGTTTTACTTATAGGATTAAAAAGCTAACTTGCCGCAAAAAGACTATTCTTACTGTGCAATCGTAGGTGCATAAATGAATAAATTGCGCTTGTTCGATTCACCGCCCGTTCTGTGGCGCAAACGCAGTATTATAAAAATGGCAAGATACCCAGCCCAGATGAATTACTACTCCACAATACACGATACTGCTTGTTGGAGAAGAGCCGGTTTTTCTCACGTGCAAAACAACTTTTTTTCAGGAGAGGTTTCTCATGCCAGCAAGTGTGAACGACTTAAATGCGACAAACGTTCTTGTGTTTACCAAGAGAGCAGGGCTCCGACGAAACGAACGATTACTTAAATAAATAAGGATAAATGCCTGCGCTCGTACCGACAATGCGAACTTATTTTGATGCACTTAACTTAAAATGGTTACGTTAATTATTTCATCCAACATTCAGGCGCGCGATTTTGTGAATGAAGGAGATTTCTTTTCACGTTTGCAACCTTTAGGATAAACAAGCGCGCGCGCCATAAGGTATTCAACAGGGTGCACATGATTTTGGGAAATAGACTGACGACATATCGCGTCGATGTATCAGGTATTAAAAGTAAGCATTTATCTGCCGTGGATAAGCATTGAAGCCGAGAGGTCAAGTCCTGCACTCCTGCATTCGTCTATAAGTTTAACATCTAATAATTTCATTGAAACATGTACAGTACAAGTAATCAGCGCTTGCGTTCTCAAAAGAGAGCAATCTTTGCTGTAGGATCAATGGCGAGCAAGTTGCGCTTCGTAAAGAATTTTCAACTCGGCAGACGCTAAGGTCAGTCTAAGTGGATAATCGGCGAAGTTAAGTAAATAATTTTAATGAGAAACACACAACAATGGCGCGGCGGCGCAAGACAAATCAGCCTGGAATTGATTACACAAGAAACAGCGAGAGAGGGAGTATGCGCTGGTAATACAGTACGATAACGTCAGTTATAAACACTCTCAGCCAGATCCACACTGCTTTTAATTTGCAAACAATTTTAGATATTTACTCAGGGAATACTTGAGAGAGCGCAAAGCCGCGATGAAATGAACTCCGCAAGTATACGAGGGTCTAGAAAAAACGCATATAAATAATTGCTTCAGGATCTGAATACTTTTTAAAATAATTTATCAAGCGCTATTGTAGGTCGAAAAATCTTATAAATTTAGGTTTTGAGTATGTGAATACTGAGAACGCAATGAGATGCTATACATTTCCTAGTGAAGTCTCAATACATCGCCACAAAATAAAATTTCTATAAAGTTTTGTATATCCCACGAGTAGGCCGAACGCATTAGCAAAGGCATTTTTTAAACGTTTTACAACTAGGTGGCATGAAGCGGTGTAGAACAAAGTTTAATTGTGTCCTTCAACCGCTCTGCGTGTAACGGAACTAGCAACAATTTACAATATAATTATTATTTCGTATGCGCCTCTCCTAGCAGCCATTAAAACGCAATGTTTGGCGACGCTCGTAGCATCCAATAAACGCAAAACGCACGTTTCCACGGCCTCCCCGTAACGGCGCGCACGTTTGGCGTCGGATTTTTCGACGCATTTGGCCACGAGTGGACCTGAGCGAGGCGGTATGATAAGAATAAAGGGTCGGGATGTGCAATCGTCTGTGAAAATGGCCATCTCACATGTTCCCTATTAGCCTCCTTAAGCGCCGAGTCGGTAGATCTCTTAAGCACTGACCCGATAAGATTCAGTCTATTAAGCAGAAGTATGCGGTTGCAGACATGACTCGAGCAGAAATTACGCGAGCCCGAATTCTGCAGTTTCACGCAGGCTCTTCGTAAAAAGCTTTGTTTTCGGTTCGAGCGGTTCTTTGCGTGTGTAGCGCAGGTCGCCATTTAGGGCTTTATGGCCTAAACGTGGATTAACATCGCACTACAATTGCAGTGTTTTGGCGTTTTTAACCGTAAGATAATAGACATAATACTATTCACATGGCATGGCGCGCGGAAGACTTAGCTGTATTGAACACGCGTCACGCCCCCTGACATACCAGAACCGGCAATCGTCTTTGATGCCCAAAATACTCAATCAATTTTGTTGGTTAAATTTATTTCGTAAAACTGATCAATTTAGCAACCTCGGCGCGGGCACAATGGAAAGTTTAAGCGAAAATAAACAAACTCTTAGTGCGGTTTGTTAACGTGTGTTTGCGGATTACGCTAGCAAATTGCCGTATTCCCGTCTGATTTGTGTGTTTGAACGATTCTTGACCGAGATAAAGACGCACGGGGCGTGAACACGCGCATTCAGGAGTTGTGCGCGTCACGATACGTTTGGGCACGCATTGAGATAATAAAGTTAAATCGCTTAATTGTTTCATTTCATGTTCGCTTGATCGCAAGGATTGAAACATGAAGTGAGGTTATGGAGATATTTGTCAAAAGTTGTCACATTGTGGCGGTTTACGCACATCTGTCGGGGGTGTTGCAGATGAATGAAATGAAATATATGACTAAATGAAACGGAGTCAACCGAGGCAGCCCTTTGATAGCGTGCAAACCGCGTTTGTTATAATCAATGCGGGCTTTCAAGATATGCATTTGATTTGATTGAATTAAAAAATATAAACACATTCGAGTAAGCTCACTTGAACTGCATGTTCTCTCAAATAAAATGATAGAACTGATGATTCCCTCAGTAGAGTTAAAACCTCGCCCAAGGTTTCTAAACTTTGCAAGGAACATTTCGAATCCCATCATCCCATCAACAATGGTCTATTTCTAGAAACCACAAGTACTTTTCATATTCATTTGATGAAGTTATGATCCAATTATGGTACATGCTTGCGTGCTTAAACAAATCGCTTTGTCACGGTATTTTTGCCAAATGTAGTTCATTAAAAATTGTGGTGTTGAGTTGAGAATTTTTAAGAACAGAAAGCGCAGAGCGGTCTAAGTGAATGTGTGTAAGTGAAAAACATAAAATGGTGTAAAATTGTGAACAACAGTTTCTTGTGAAAAGTTTATGTCTGATGACATTTGTGCATGTTGTGGTTCTCGGTGTAAAAAACTGAGCGTCAAATTTGATTGAAACTGCGGCGCAGTGAAAATCAGGTTTTAACGGATGATTATTAAATGGAAAGTTGCGAGAGAAAACTTTCTGTAAACATCAAACATGCCTTGAAATATAATCAAGCTTCCCTTCTAGCTGGAAGTTACATGCGGAGTTTTGGAATCATCCAATGTTTGTGACCGTGAGAATGTTACGGCGAGGTGAATTATCGCGCTATGCAAATGCTGATAGCAAAAAATCGCGAAACATGGTGGGCAATATTGTATGGGGAGAATACACTGTCTAATTGGATTTAAATTGTGAGCAATCTATAGTACATATTAATTAATATAACGGAACAAGACTTACATTGCCTCATAAATAACTCAGCGTGCGCCCGCCACAGGATGCCTCTGGGATATTTACTGACCTGCTTTGTGTTGTACATCCGACCTGCAGAGAGGGAAATATTAGGACTGATTATCAGGTGTCGCGGAAAATTCTAGAACGGACGCTCGAAACAATTGTATATTGGCTTAAAACATTTGGATGGAAAAATAAACAATCGCGTAACTGTAACGCTGTTAAGTAACTAGAACCAGACGAACCATTTCAAACGAGGCAAAATTCGAACGACTATTTCAGGCGTTCTTCTCGGCTGTGCGTTTTTGGTTATGGGTAAGAGATGGGGAAGAAAAAGTAGCAAGCAGACATCAGGGGTTACTGTTTTTGCAACTCAATTCAATAGTATTCTTATAAATTTTATACAAAAACAAGTTAATTTTAGCAACTTTACATCAATGAAGTCAAAAAGCTATATAAAGATATATAGTTCCGCCCATATATGTGCAGGGACCTATTGGTTACACCTCTTTGCCTTATAAAGTAGCTACATTAATCAAAATAAGATGAGCAATAGCATATAGCCTTGTGTCTGACCTATAACGGCAATGTCTTATTCAATGCATTCTGTCTCTAAAGCCTACCCACGATCACAGGGGAATCTTTTGTGCGTGAAAATTCCCGTTTTAGAAAATGGTCGGGCTTGTGTGTCTGGTTTGCGTGAATGGCGGCTTACAAGGTTTACTTGTGGTAAGGTCCAACCGCGAGTTACTGCAATTCAGACGGGTAACCCTAACAGTTCAGGACTGTTCTTCACTGAGTATTTAATGAATCAGTAGAGACGTTTATCAGATCCAGTCTTCCTTACAGGCAAAAACAGTGACTGGTGAAGCTTCTAGTTAAAATCGGTGAAAAATGAAAGTTTTGAGAACAGATGAAATACACATTAGGTAT